TCAAAGACATCAAGAAGATCTGACTAAATAAATGGAGTATTGATTGAAAGATGATGGGTCTATGTTTGCCAAAATTCATAGAACTGGATAATCAAAAGTCTGACTTCATTTTACCATATGTAAGTTTAAATACATTTAAAGAAGAAATAGTAACTTTTAAAAGTTTAAACAATTCTGATGGTGAGGAAGCTGCCACATAGAGTACTTAGTAGTAGTATCTTTTTTTTTTTTTTTTAAAGATTTTATTTATTTGATAGACAGAGATCACAAGTAGGCAGAGAGACAGTCAGAGAGGAGAAAGAGAGAGAGGAGGAAGCCGACTCCCTGCAGAGCAGAGAGCCCGATATGGGGCTCCATCCCAGGACCCTGGGATCATGACCCGAGCCCAAGGCAGAGGCTTTAAACCACTGAGCCACCAGGTGCCCCTAGTATTAGTATCTTTAAAGAAAAAGTGTAACTTTATTGTTTTGCTGTATGTATTTCTCTTCACTATAAAAATGTGAACAACTTTATAAATGTCCTTATGGTGTAGGTATAGGTACCCTTATAGTTTCTGAACATTTTAGTTCAACTAAATTCTTTTTCTAACATTAGAGAAATCTTTTATATTATTCCCACACCTTCAAACAGTATCATTCTAATTACTGCCCTTTTCCAAAAAAATTCACTGCACATTCATTGAAAGAAGGATCTTTTTAGACTTTACCAAAGTAACATGTATGAAAGAAAAGTCAAGCTTTGTGACTGTGAATAAATAGGTATGTGTTTAGCCACTGATTTTTGAATAAATTGCTTATTATGATTTTTATAAAAATGGCATGCTATTGTGGTTCATAATCAGAATATTGTGAATATTCTTTGAATATTTTTACATTGGTTTGCCAGGATCTTGCCTTCATCTCATTTATGAAGCCCCAAATACACAAAACCATCTTTTAATGAGAATTTGAATGGTGCATACATATTACCCAGTTAAATAACTAAGGAGCTAGTTACCTTTTTTGTCTTATTAGCTTCTAGCTACCTTTTAGGATCCGATAACTGTTCCTTGAAATTCATTACTAATTTAAGAAAATTGACAAGGAGATTGTCTAAAGCCCCTGGAGTCAAAAGTAGACGCCAATTATAACTTCTACTCCAATGGCCTTGAGACTTTGACTTCATTCTGGACCATGTGAGAGAGAATCTGGCCAATTTTGCATAACCTGCTTGTCAAGATAAGATTTGAAGGAAATGTGTCTTCACTGGTATAGAGACCTTAAAATGGTTGACAAAGCTTCATCCTGATGAAAACGTATCATGGGTGGAGGATTTTAAAATCCCCAAAATAGTTTTCTGCAGCCAGATTGTGGTGTAATGTAACAGTGAGAAATAAAGAGGGTGGGGATGTAGAGAAAATACATATTAATATAAATATAGATAATTGACATCATTAAATAGTTTTGAGTTCTGAGACTGAATGCACTAAAATAAAAAGAGGTACCCAGGAGATTAATTGATTGTCGACTCATACCCCCATCTACTGTTCTTATGGTTATAAATTCCAGTTTGGGGGATGAAGGTAGAATAATGGTTGACACTGATGAAAGATATTGAATACCAATTGACACAAGCTACATTTTTAATATCTTATAATTTATATTTGACTATATTGTTATTTTTGTTTATAGTACTTTTGTGAGTTTTTTTGTCTTGTATAAATAGTGAAAAATTAGAGATAATATACAACATTTAGTTGAACTATGGCCAATACTTAATTATTTAGCTCTAGGGGGCAGAAGATCTACAGCTATTATGTGAATCTACAAAAATTACAGTTTTAATTGTTTCATGTTAATTGTTATTGTGTAATCTTAGCTTCGTTTATTACTCACACTCCCTTAATTGCATATGCAGTTTTATTTTCAGTGGATCTTACATTCAAGAGACTTTGCATATTCATCATTTATAAGCTCCCATGATAAGAAATCAGCTTATGGATGTTATTCATAAATCGTTTTATAACCAATTGCTTCAATTTTATTCCAAATAGAAGTGTAAACAATTTACATACTATCTATGATATTTTCAAGAATTTTGTTGAATTGTTCTCAGGTCATGGATTTATTCAGTCCTTACACAAGAATATAGAGAACACCTGTTGTGCCAAGGGTTGTTTCACATAATGGGGAGATAGCAGTAAAAAACAAACAGCAATCCCTGTGTTCATGGAATTACATTTTAGTGAAAGAGAGAAATACAGTAAGTAAATAAAAGCAGAATTTTATGTCAAGTGGTGATACGTGCCATGGAGAACAATAAACCAGAAAGCCGAGAAAAGAAGTGCCACAGATATAGGTAAGATGGAGTTTTAAATAGAGTAGTCAGGCATAGTACATGGAGAGCACATTTACGAGCAGAAAAATCCCCAAGGAGTTGAGGGAGTAAGCCGTGTGTATTTTGGAAGGAACGGTAAATGCAAAGGTCCTAATGCAAGAGTCGTCTTGGTTTGTATGAGGAAGATCATGGTAAGAGCTAATGCATTTATTCATGAAGGACAGAAACCCATGTAATAATTTTGAGCAGAGGAGACATGATCTAACAGACATACTTAAAGGTCAGAAGAGGGTAAGGAGGCAAAATAAGAAGTTAGTGTAATCCAGAAAGGGTGATGCTCCCTTGAGTCAGAATTGGTAGTAGTAGCAGAGGTGGTAGGACATAGCGAGATTCTGGATGCTAGTTTACAGACAAAGCAAAGATTTGCTGATGGATATAGTGATGGGTGAGAGCAAGAGATGGGTCATGGATCCAGATTTCTTCCTGAAATAGAATGGATGGAATTGTCATGAGCTGAGATGGAAGAAAAGCAGAGGATAAAGTCTGGGGAGACAGAAGCAGAAGTTTAGTTTTAGACCCATTTCTATCAAGATGCATGTTAGCTCTCCAAGCGAAAGGGCCAAGACAGCAACAGGATATATAAATATTGGAGTCCAGGGAAGCTGGGACTGAAAGATAATTTTATGGGTCGTTGGCATCTAGGAAGTGTTTTAAAAAAATGAAATGAGGTGATATTAACAAGATTGTGGGTGTAGAGAAGAGAAGAGATCCAAGGACTGAGCTCTGGGGCATTCTCATGTTACTTTGTGTAATGCGGAGGAAATTAGGAAAAACCAGCAAAGGAGACTGAGAATGAACAGCTAGTAATCGAAGAGGAAAACCAGGAGAGAATCATGTATCAGAACCTAGTGAAGAAACGGTTTCAAGAAAGAGGGAGTGATCAAGTATATCCAATATTACTGACATGTCAGGTGTGACAAGGTGGAAAAATTAAATATGGGATTTAGCAATATACGTCATTCCTGATATATGCACTTTCAGTGGAGTGGTAAGGGTACAGAAAAGAAAAAAAAAGTTCTGATATGCCCTACAACGTGAATGAACCTCGAAAACGTTATGCTAAGTAAAAAAAGTCGAACACAAAAGGCTATATATTGTATGATTGTGTTTATGTGAAATGTCCAGAAAAGGCAAATCTATATAGATGAAAAGAAGGTTGGTGGTTGCCAGAGCCTGAAGGAGGAGCAGAGAATGGGGAGTGACTTATACTGGGTATGGGTTTTATTTTGGAGGGATGAAAATGTTTTGGAAGTAGTGGTAATGATTGTACAATATTGTAATTGTAGAAAAGCCACTGAATTGTATACTTTAAAATGGTTAAAATGGTGAATTTTATGTTATGTGAATTTTACCTCATTTAAAAAAAAATCAAAAACCTCACTGGAACAGGCTCAAGAAAGGATGTGGGGAGAAGAACTGGTGTTGGAATCCATGTAAATAGGTAGAACTTAGCGAAGTTAGTTGGAAGGGGTTGTAGGGTCAGAGGGTTTTCTTACCATGGGTGAAATTTTGGCCCCCTTGCGTACTGAAGTGAAAGAAAACCCATTGATGTAAAAGAGGGGAGGAAATTGCTAGAATAATTCCTAAAACAGGAAAGAGGAGATGATTTTCTGAAGAAACATGGGCAGCAGTGCAGGGAGATGGGTGGTGGGACTTGGGAAGTTTTCTCCTGTTTCCTCTCATTTTCCCAGTGAAATGTGAAGCAACATGATTATCTGAGAATGATGATGGGGAAGAAGGAATTGGAAGGTGAAGGAGGGGGTAAAGGATTTTGAATAGCTACCTAGGAGTGGCGGAAAAGGAAAGAAAAGAAAATGTGGTGGGATGGCCACATGCAACCAAGTGAGTAGTCACAGATACAAAGCCATTTCAGTCGGCTTGGTGGTGGGCTCTTCCTTGCTCACCTTCCACCACACAGATACAGGCTGGAGTAGGTCTTAAATTTCCTGGAGGTCTCAGGGTATCCACAGTGATGCCTTTGACTGGAAATGCTCGGGGCACTCACCTGGACCCATGTTGCTTGTGGTGAGCTCCTGCGCACATTTCTCCCACCCCCACCAGAGCCCATGTTGTGGCTGTCCTAGGCCTTGTGGTTCTTGTCAGGATTGTGGCTCAGGTATTTCAGGAGGAGAGAGTGAGAATTGTCTGGAAGTAGCAACAGGACAGGAAGGATACCTAGTCCACTTTCCAGCTCAGTGTTGGGAGGGCAGTGGAGGGAAAAACAGACACAATGGGAGAAGATGGCAGGGGCAGTAGTTCCAGTAGATCACTTCCAGAGGACAGTCTATCTTACAGTTGACACATGTTCCATTATGCTCCTAACGATAGGCTTTGTGTTTCCACATTAGGCCGTGTTACTTCATGGATACATGGAAGATTTGGTTTGGGAGCTTGGTAGTCACCACAGGGATCTGGTTAAAATCCAGAAGCACTAGCAGAGTTGTATTGTTCTCTCTGTCTCTGTCTCTCTCTGTGTGTAATGGGTTTGCCTGAGGGGAGATGCTGCCACAGAACGGAGTTGGGTGGAGAGTGCTTTCTAGAACAAATGCTAACACTTTAAAAAATACATGTGCCTTTCCAGATGCACTTACATCTCACTTCTTGCCAATTTTTAAATTTAACAGATGAAATTTTACCCTGTCCAGAAACATTGAACACAGAGCAGGAGCAGTGCCATCTAGATACAAGTCTCTGCAGTTTTGATTCTACAGATGAAGGACTGAGGGGTAAGTGTTAAATTGAGATGCCCACCATAATGGTATGTACCACCCATGAGACTTGGACCACTGGTAGTAATTCAGACCACTACTATTGATACTCACTTGGCAAACTTTGTTGACATTTATGTCCTAAGTTTAGCCAAAGTGTTATTGAAAGTCTGTGGTTTATTCAAAGCATGAAAGATACTAAATATGTCAATTTAAAGTGATGTTGTTCTGTAAAATAGTTCCATTAAAGACCATCTTTGAATTATATCCAGAGTTTCTTCTTTAAAATTTCAGTGCAATTATGAATAACAAATGATTTAAACTAACTTAGTTCTGTAAGATAGGTCAGGTCAGATACTATGTTTGCCATTGAAAACATTGTAACTGGAGCAGTGGTACAAGAAAAAGGGAAAACATCTTTTTACTTTTAAATGGAATGGTTTTCTTTCGGGAGGGTGCCCATCTGGATCAAGGAAGAACTTTTGAAACACAGGTATGCTGGTATACTCCAAGGCTTGTTGAACCAAAATTTCTAGGTATGAATTAGAATGTGTGTGTGCGTGCGGGTGTGTGTGTGTGTATGTGTGTGTGTGTGTGAAGCCTTGATTACAAATCATATGCTATGGCTAAGCAGCCACTCTAGTGACTCTGGTGGTCCACCATTGTCTTTTCCACCTCTCTGTAGTGTATCAGATCTGTGGATTTGAATTTGATATGCATGACTGGGCATCCGAAACATCTGCTGGGCAAATTTCCTGGATGCACTCAAAAGCAAGAGAAATTCCTGCATTAGAATCTAGACCTCAGCAGGATCAAAGGAGTGATGAAGGTAGGAACTAAAAAAAAATAATATTCTTTATATATATTTTTTCAGAATTGTGATTTATTGTGAGTGGTAATTAAAACATTTCATCAGGGATCCTGATGAAGATACTGAGTATATTTTCTTGAAACTATATTTATCATACATAGTGAAAGTAAAAAAAATAATAAAACCTTATTATCAATAATGTAAAGGAAGAATTATACTAGGTGAACTATTTTAATTTTGTAAATTTCATTATTTTCTTATCATCAGGAGATAATAGATTTTGTGGGAACCAAAAGGAAAGGTATTAAAAAGCTTCTATCAAAATGTATTAGCTCTCCCTTTCACTAGTGTCAATGAGTTTCTTTTTCGTCTAATATTAAATTTGTGTTTCTGTTTATTGTTCTTTCCACTGTTTTTCTCTCTCTCTTTCTTTCTTTTTTTGAGGAGGCATATTGTTAGTCTTTTCTTAAAGTAGTAATTTAAGATTTTACTTAATTTAAGATTTTGCAGAAAGCAATAGCTACTTTCTCCATAGTTTTGTCTTTTCTGGAATGTCATATAGTTGGAATTATACAATAGGTAGCCTTTTTAGATTGACTTCCTTCATTTAGTAATATGCATTTAAGGTTCCTCTATGTCGTTTCATGGCTTGATAGCTTATTTCTTTTTCATAGTGAATCATATTCCATTGCTTGGATGTGCCGGAAGTTATTCACCTACTGAAGGACATCTTAGTTGCTTCCAAGTGTTTAGCAATTATGAATAAAGCTACCATAAACATCTATGTGAAGGTTTTTGTGTAGACCTAAGTTTTCACCTCTTTTGGGTAAATGCCAAGGACCATGATTGCTGGATCATGTAGTAAGAATATATTTGGTTTTGTAAGAAACTACCAAGCTGTCTCCCAAAGTAAAGGTACCATTTTTTATTTCCATCAACAATGAATGAGAGATCTTGTTGCTTTCCATCCTCTCCAGCATTTGGCAATGTCAGTGTCCTGGATTCTGACCATGCTAATAGGTGTGTAGTGGTATCTCCTTGTTTCAGTTTGCATTTCCCTAATGCCTTATGCTTTTCATATGCTTACTTGCCATCCATATGTCTTCTTTGGTGAGTTGTTTGTTAAGGTCTTTGGTTTTTGGTCTTTTATCTTTTATCATTTTCTTTTTCTTTCTTTCTTTCTCTCTTTCTTTCTTTCAAGATTTTATTTATTTTTTTGAAAGAGAGAGAACACAAGCAGGGGGAGAGGCAGAGTGAGAAGCAGGCTGCCCTGCTGAACCTGGAGCCCGATGCAGGGCTTAATCCCAGGACCCCAGGATCATGACCTGGGCTGAAGGCAGATGTTTAACCACCTGAGCCACCCAGTCATCCCTAACATTTTCTTTATTCACCATTGTTTCTTTTATTTCATGCCCTTGATTTCTTTTCCTTCTTGAAAAGCTTCACTTACTAATTGTCCTTTAATTTAGAAAAGATCTGTGGTGATGGGCTTGCTTAACGTTTATGTTATAAACTTAGAATATTTTTAATGACCTCACTCCTAAATAATAATCAATCAGGTCAGACGGTTTTCTAAAGAAAGTCTGTATATTTTATTTCTAAGCACATGGATATGGTTCTTTATTTCCTGATATCTATGGTAGTCATTGGGAAGTCTGAACTCATCTAATTCTTTTTCAGTTTTATGCAGATTTAAAAAAAATGTTTATCTCTAATGTTTGAAAATGTCACTATAATGAGTACAGATCATGAATATATTTTTAATTAAATTTTTCAATGCTCAGAATATATGTATTTCATCACTTGTGGAAATGGTATGTTACTCTTTTCTAATAATTCTCGTTTAGTCCCTCTGTTCTTATCTTCTTAAATTCCTATTAAATATATGTCCTGTGTGTTAGTGTTTTCTATTTGTTGCCCTTATTCTTTGTTCTTATTTTTGTCTTCCACTTCTGTTATGCCTTTGTAGTTTTAAATGAAGATTTTATATGCTTCCTTTTTATTTCCTTTTTTAGTATTTCAATTATACTTCCTTTTTCACCCTTTTTTTAGTGCTTGCTCTGAATTTGTGAACTTCATTTACAACTAATCCAACTCCACTTTCAAATAGTTTCATACTTCTTCATGTAATGCAAGTATCTTATAATAGAATATTCCTAATTCCTCCCTCCTGCCCCTTGCATCATTGTTGTCATTCATTTCACTTATTTGCAAATTATAATCATCAAATGCATTGTGGCTGTCACTATTTTGAACAAACTATGCTCTTTTAGATCAATTAAGGAAACTATAATTAAAAGATTTTGCCAAAACTTAGCAACCGATGTGTTTCATTTATTGCTTTCCTAGTACTGTTCCTTCCTTTATTTAGATCTGAGGTTCTGACAGATATCATTTACCTTTTCTTTGAAGAATTTCTTCTAACGTTCCTTAAATTCAAAGCCATTGTTTCCTTGTTTATTTTCTGTTTAGATAATCTGTCCATTGATGTAAGTGGGGGTGTTAAAGTCCCCTACTATTATTGTATTATTATCAATTAGTTCATGTTTGTTATTGTTTTATGTATTTGAGCACTTCCAAGTTCGGTGCATAAATATTTACAATTGTCACATCTTCTTGTTGGATTGTCCGCTTTATTATGATATGGTGCCCTTCTTCATCTTTTGTTATAGTATTTGGTTTAAAGTCTAGTTTGTCTGGGGGCCTGAGTGGCTCAATCAGTGGAATATCTGATTCTTGGTTTTGGCTCAGGTCATGATCTCAGGGTCATGAGATCAAGCCCCAAGTCAGGCTCCACAGTTAGTGCAGAGTCTGCTTGTGATTCTCTCCCTCTAGCACTGCCCCTCCCCCTACTTGTATGCTTTCCTTCTCTCTCTAAAATAAATAAGTAAATCTTTAAAAAAATAAAATCTAGTTTGTCTAATATATGTATTACTACTCTTGCTTTATTTTGGCATCCATTTTCATGGTAAATGTTTGTCCATCCCTTCACTTTCAATCTATAGACATCTTTGGGTCTAAAATAAATCTCTTTTAGGCAGCATATAGATATGTCTTAATTTTTTTCCTTTCTGACAATCTGTGTCTTCCTAATGGAGCATTTAGTCCATTTACATTCAAAGTAATTATTTAAAGATATGTATTTATTGACATTTCATTACTGTTACATTGTTGCTTCTGGAGATTTTCTCTGATCCTTTCTTATTTTTGTCCCTTTTGGTCTCTCTTTTGTACTCAAAGATTCCTCTTTAATATTTCTTGCAGGGCAGTTTTAGTAGTCACAGATTTCTATAGTTTTTGTTTGTCAGGGAAACTCTTTATCTCTCTTTTTAAATTTTTTAAAAATTAAATTTTTTTTTCAGTGTTCTAAAATTGATTGTTTATGCTATTCTAAATGAGAGCCTTGCTGGATAGAGTATTCTTGGCTGTAGATTTTTCCCATTCAGCACTTTGCCTCTTTCTTCTGGCTTGCAGTTTCTATTGAGAAATCTCTACCTAGCCTTATGGGTTTTCCTTTGTAAGTTAAGGACTTCTTTTAAGATTTTTTTTCTTTATCCCTATATTTTAAAAATTTGATTATAATATATTTTGGTATTGGACTATTTTAAAAGTTTGATTACAATATATTTTGGTGTTGGACTATTTTGTTGATTTTGATGGGAATTCTCAGTGCCTCCTGGATCTGGATATCTGTTTTGTTGCCCAGACTAGGGAAGTTTTTTACTATTACTTCTTAAAAATTTCTGCCCCCCTTTCTCTCTTCGATTCTTCCAAGACTCCTAAATTCTGAATGTTATTGTGAATGATGGAGTCATTGAGTTCCCTACATCTATTCTTCTGTTGCATAATTCTTCCTCTCTTTTGTTCAGCTTCATTATTTTCCATTATTTTGCCTTCTACATTACTAATTCATTTCTCTGCTTCTTCTAGCCTGCTGTTCGTTGCATCAGTCTGTTTCCAATCTCATTTATTGCATTCTTCATCTCTGATTCTTTTTTAACTCCTTTCCCCCTTTGTTAAGGGTCTCACTAATGTCTTATTTTTTGCTCAAGCACAATGAGTATCCTTATGATTGTTGTTTTAAATTCTTCATCAGGTCTGTTACTTATATCTGCTTCACTTATATTTCTGGCTGTGGCCTTATTTTGTTCTTTCATTTGGGATTAATTCCTCCATCATGGCATTTTGTCTAACTCGTGCCTTCTTCTCTGTGTTAGAAAAGCCAGTTATGACTCCTCTTGAATCTAATGACCATGAAGAAGAGGTCATGTAGTGTCAAGGTCCTGGCACTTCAAGGAGTATCTCTGGAATGTCCTGAATGCACTCTGCTGTTGTGTTCTTGTTGATCTGTCCTTCAGGCCAGTCATCTGTAGAGGCTCTTGTTGTCTGCTGTGAGCAGTGTTTGGTTCCTGGCCTGAATGTGACAAGTTTTAACTAGAAGTGCTCAGGTCTGCTTGTGAGACCTGACACCACTTTCACCAGAATGGAGGCCCTGAAGAACTCTCTGGCAAGGAGACATAATGTGAGCAGGGGTTTGTGCTCGTGTTCTGAGGAAAGCGCTCCTGTGTTAGGACTGAGGCATGCTTGACTGAGAAGAGCAGTTCTGTCAGAGTTCAGGGGTATGGAGCTTAGTGTAAGCAAATTAGGTAGCTAATGTTGGTGCTATCCTGCTTCCCTTGGGTGGGCTCTGTGTTTATGCTGGCGCATAAACACAGTGGAGTGGCACCAACCAACTCCTTTGTTCCTGGAGAGGCATCTCTGTGAACTCTGCCTTTCAGGTGTGTGCTCTGAGAAGAGCGAATGTAGATCAATGCTTCTGCATTGTTTGCCCTTAGGTTGTTTGCCTGCCTGCTCTCCAGAAGTAGTGAGGTGACCTCTGGGCTCTATCCCAGCCAAGCTCATTGACCTTTAAAATTTCAGACTTTAAGCCCTCCTAGGTGCAAGAACTCACAATCTTCAGCTCCTCTTCTTTTCCAAGCCAACGACTTTGGGGAAACTTTCTCTTTGTGCATTCCCCTGTGTACTCTTCTATCTCTTGCCCTTCTCAGTGACCATGGCTCCTTCCCCTTTGCAATACCCACCAACCATTTCTGTTCTAAACCACATCTCCACACTTTCTACCTTCTTCAGTGTGGCCTTTTCTCTCCCTTTAGTTGTGGAGTTTGTTCTGTCAGTCTTTGGCTCAATTTCTGGGGTATTTAGAGTGATTTGATCGTTACCTAGTTGTGTTCCTGGGACAAGGTAAACCTAGGTTCCTCCTACACTGCTGCCATCTTTCTTTCCTAACATTACTTTCAAAACAGGTCTATTGGCTACAAATTATCTCAATTTTCATTTGTCTGAGAAAGTGTTTATTTCTTCTTCATTTTTTAAAGATTCTATTTATTTTAGAGAGACAGAGAGAGTGCACACGTGAATTTGGGGGGGAGGCAGAGGGCAAGGGAGAGAGAGAGAATCTCAAACTGACCCTGAAGTGAGCATGGAGGCCTATGTGGGGCTTGATCTCACAATCCTGAGATCATGATCTAAGCTGAAATCAAGAGTTGGACCCTATTAAAGGCAATCTTCATTTCTGTTATAGTGTTTTGTTTTGGTCTCTAGTATTTTTAATTCTTTCTTAGAATTTCCATCTCTCTGACTACATCATCTATCTTTTTTTGCATGTTTCTACTTTTTTTCCATTAGAGCTCTTAACTTTTTAATTATAGTTGTTTTAAATGTTTAGTCCGATAATTTCAACATTCCTGCCATATCTGGGTCTTGTTCTGATACTTACTCTTTCTCCTCAAACCCTATTTTTTGTTTTTTGCCTTTCAGTGTGCTGTCTAATGGTTTGTTGAAAGCCAGACATGATGTGCTATATTAAGGGAATTAAGGTCAATAAGTATTTAGCATGACCTATTATTTTTCTGTAGCTAGAGATTAGACTCTTTACTTTTTGTCACAGCTGTAGATGTTTGAGGCTAGAATTTCATCTGGTATCCTTGTTTTTGTCTTACCTGTTGTCTTTGGGTTTCCCTAGAGACATCTTAAATTAGGTCTGAGACCTACAGTTCTTTAGATAGTATTATCCTATTATTATACAGGACCCCCTTTGCAGTGAGTTGTGGTAAATTTTAAGGAGGAGAGGAGTAACATTCTAGAGTCCTATGATTAGTTTTCATTCTTTTCGTGAGATTGTTCTTCAGTTACATGACCTTTAAAGGTGCTTCCTCCTCCAGCCTTAGGTGAGACAGGAAGGAAGGCTAGAAGGGGTTGGATCTGGGTATTTTCCTCCTCTCATGTGTAAGACTAAAGCCTGCTGGAGTTGATATTTCTCTTCTCCCAGGTCAGTTAGGTTCTGATCAAGCTCCAATTAGTAAGGCAGTGATGAAGTTTTGTTTTTTTTTAATATAAGCCTTGCTATTAATAGTTGAACAACCCAGTCATTTTTACATGTCTGTTTCCCCAAGACTACCCCTAGTAAAAATACTAGTTTAGGGTTTCATCTTTGTGATAATCCATGGAATTTTGCACATCCTATCACTTAGTCATAGCGCAAGGTAGTGACTGTTGGTATATGTTCCACCTCAGTTTCTGAGCAGGATTCCCCAACTCTAATCTTTGACTTCACTGAGAGAGTTTTTTCCTCCAGCTTTTGTTTGCAGCATTCAAGTTAGTCAGAATCTAAGCTACCACAGCTTGGGGCTGATCTGAAAGTTCCAGAGTTCTTTTGTGTCAGCCCTACTTATCACTTGGTAGAATTGTTCTTTACTTATCTATTGAGATATTTTATGTTGAAATTGAGCTGTCTCAGTTTTTGTAAAAATATGTCTTTATCTTATTTATCATTTCTTTGTGTGTAAGTTAGATGCAAAGTGTTAACTTAAAATTGAATTTTGCCTAAGTCTTCCATTTTGCAGCAAAGAAGAGTTTTATCTAATTTAAATTCATAGTTTTAAGAAACTATAGGAATATTTACTAACTTACACAGAAATAACACATTGGAAACCATTATTGAAAAGCTGCAAGAGCATAGAAATATCTTTGTATCTCTTCATTGTCTATATTACTAAATTTAAAAATAGTGCAAATTGGTTTTAAGTATCAGATGGGATAAAATTGATTGACAATATTTTTATGTAGTACAAAATCCATACCTGCAGTTTAATGGAACTGTGGTATCTGATATTTCCATGTGGTTGGGTAAGAAAGAGGGCTGTTTATATTCCCTTAAACTAAAAAGATTTTTCTACAACTAAGAAGTAGAAAAAGTAAGAGGGGAAATAATTCTGGGAAGAAAGGTGAGAAATTCTTGGTTAAAGAAAGATTGCATTGTGACATATAAAAGAAAATGATGATAATTTTGTAGCAGGAGATTTTTATATCAGTTGATATCTTTTTGAAAGAATATTGAATTGAAATTTCCTAATTTCAGGAACTAGGAGCAGATTTCAGTGCATTTAAAAATCACATATAGAAATGAAAGCCTATAATTTGTAGTTGACACAATCATTTTAAAACATATCCCTAAAAATAATGAATAAATAAATAAGTGAATGAATAAAACATCCTATCCCTTTAAGTAAAATATTTGTCTTCCAAGCCTGATTTTGAAAAGTCCACAAAACAATAATTTTGTTCAAACAGAAAGCAGCTCATTTTCTTCTAAATTGCTTCCTTTTCCTTTATTTTTCAGGTTACTATATCTGGTTAAGAGCTACGGATGCTTCTACTCTTAACCATTTAGACAGCAAAGCTTATTTAAATAGCTCTCTGTGTCACTGCCTGGGCAAGAGCTGCCATCTTCAATTCTATTATTCCATGGAAAACAGTGTTCTGAGAGTAGGACTATACAATAATAAGGTGAGAAGAAACTTACATTTATCTCAAATTCATTTAATAAGTGAAATTTCTATTTTAGCAACTTGTGTTTCTCTTTCTCATTTGTGTGTAGGCTTTAGGTATTCTTTAACTTGACTTTATTTAGTATACCTTTGAAAAGAAATATTAAGAACCTGGTTTAAGACCTACTGTCATGTAGGTGTGCCTGGGTGGCTCAGTTGGTTAAATGTCCTACTCTTGATCTCAACTCAGGTCTTGATCTCAGGTTGTGAGTTCAAGACCAGTGTTTGGCTCCATGATGAGAATGGAGCCTACTTAAAAAAAACAAAAACAAAACAAAACAAAAAACCATCATGTAGAAAATATAATGTGATAATTTGTACAATATTATTTTATAAAATCGTTAAAAATTCATGAAAGTATATTAAAGAAACTATAGGTCTAATAAAAATGAGATATTTGAGATTCTGTATTATTGGCTCATGTTGACTTTCTGATGGGATCTGTTGTGGATTTTAGATCCATATATCACTAGAGTATAATTATGATGGAAACAAATTACTAGTTATGGTACCAGCAGATACAATTTTAGAGACTGGTAATTACTGATTAAATACAAACAAATGAGTCATTGGAATGGGCAAAAATGGCTCACTGGGTTGAATGAAAGTTGCAGTGGTTATGCTAGCAAATAAAACAAATCTAAGCTTTTTTTTTTTAATATCTAACTTTAACTGAAAACAATCCTTCACAAGTGGAAAAATATCAGAGGCACTTTGAGAATTTCTATTGTGAAGAAAATTTATTTATAGATGGAATTTTTAAAAAATCACAGGCATAAATAGTGGTCATTCTAGCAATGGGAAACATTTGACAATAATTGCAGGAATTCTGAAAGGAAAAAGGAAGATAGTAAAAACATCCAAGTCAGATTCTTTTGGCTTCAGATGCTTTGAATAAATCGAGTTGAAACTTCCTCCTCATATCGGCCAGATTCATTTTCCAACAAAAGTTTATTTACCATCTATGCTTATCAAGTATCACAGACCATCTGTCAATAGCAGATGTTTGCTTCTGAAGTCTGAAAGACCATCATAATTAATCCTTAGATATGACCTATTAGCTGCCTATGACTGGGAGAACTGAAAATTCAAAAGGGATTCTCTCTTTTTTTTTTTCCTGGTTCTATCACATCACTGTTCTCTTTTTCTTTTGTATCATTTTCTTCATGCCCAGTCTTTTTTCTTTTACCTCTTCTTTTCCAGAACATTCACAGAGTTCTAAAGCATGAAATTAGAGTTATAGGCTCGTTAGATGGCCTAATATAATTTGTTTTTTTGGATGAGATACAATTTCTAGCATTCTGTAACTATGTTATATTTTGGTGACATTTTTATGGTAGCATTTGACAGTAAAATAATTTTTTTTTAAGATTTTATTTATTTATTTGACACAGAGAGAGAGAGATCACAAGTAGACAGAGAGGCAGGCAGAGAGAGGGGGGGAAGCAGGCTCCCCGCTGAGCAGAGAGCCCAATGCAAGGCTCGATGCCAGGACCCCGAGATCATGACCTGAGCTGAAGGCAGAGGCTTAACCTACTGAGCCACCCAGGCACCCCTGACAGTAGAATAATTTTGTTGAGTTTATATTATAGTTAAAGGTTCTTTAAAAAATATATGGTCCTGGGTGACTGGGTGGCTCAGTCAGTTAAGCATCTGCCTTTCAGGTCATAATCCCAGAATCCTGGGATTGAGTGCCGCATCAGGCTTCCTGATCAGTGGGGAGTTTGCTTCTCCCTCTACCCTTCTCCACCCTGCTTGTGCTCGTGTTCTCCTTCTCTCTCTCAAACAAATAAATAAAGTCTTTAAAAAAATATATGTTCCTATAACAGTACTTTTCACATGACAGGTAATTACTATTCACTGAATGTTGAATTAATTATCTTAAATTTGAGTAGAAATTTGTTCAATATAGCTCCTAATCCTAAAGATTATTTTAATCTACCCTGAACATCAGTGATGGATTATAAACTTTGGGACTATATAAGAAAAGATTATAAACAAATTGACTTCAGATACCACATCATAATAATATGAATAGAATTATCAGAGCTCCATCTCCCACATTATAAGAAAAGAAGTTAGTCATGGAGAACTGACTTAATGTATTAATTAGAACCGGTGGGGGCATACATCTCAGAGCATTGAGAGATGTTTTGTTTATTAGTTTACCCAGTATTCTGCAAGACAATTTCCTGTTTTTTTCTTTCATACTATTGGCTCTGATCTCTACATATAATATATAACATATTGGTCACCAATGGAAAATCTGCATCAAAATACATTTAAGTTTTAAGCTCATGTTTTATCACAAAGTTAAAAAGGACTCCAAACCTATCGTTTAAAAAATTAGCTCTTCAGGGGCTGCCTGGGTGGCTCAGTGGGTTAAGCCTCTGCCTTCAGCTCAGGTCCTGATCTCAGGGTTCTGGGATCGAGTCCTGCATCGGGCTCTCTGCTAGACAGGGAGCCTGCTTCCTCCTCTCTCTCTCTCTCTCTCTCTCTCTCTCTCTCTGCTTGTGATCTCTCTCTCTGTCAAATAAATAAAATCTTAAAAAAAAAAATTAGCTCTTCATGAAATGCTCATTTAAATCTTCCATGAATAGAATATAGAAAACAACCCTTAGGATATGTGCAGGTAAATCAAGAAATACCTAGGAAGGATGCTGAAGGTAGTTTTCTTTATTTTCAGAGGACATCAGACTTTGAGAATTAGATAACACAGGTAAAAGACAAGTTATTAAATAAAAAGTTGACTCTGTTAGGATCAGCTTAAGTGTGTAGCCGTTCTAGTTTGTACCATATCACCATCCTTGAGATTAGGTCTCTATCTTCTATAAAATAATAATCTTAGCAACAGCCTATCCTTTATCCTGAAGAGAGTTTCCACGTCAGTGAGCCAAGGATAGTGAGGTGCCCAGCTTGTGGTACCTTTTAGATATTCAAAAAAAATTTCCATTGACAAATAGGAAGGACACATAGCTGGGGCAGGGAAGAAAATGCCTTAGAACATATCTTTTCTCATATGATACTGTTTTTATTTATTTATTTATTTATTTTTAGATTTTTTAAAATTTATTTGACAGACAGAGATCACAAGTAGTCAGAGGTAGGCAGGGGCAGGGTTGGGGGGAGCAGGCTCCCTGCCTAGCCGAGAACTTGATGTGGGGCTTGATCCCAGGACCCTGAGATCATGACCTGAGCCGAAGGCAGAGGCTTAACCCACTGAGCCGGGCACCCCTGATACTGTTTATAAAAAGGAAGGCCATCATAAGCTTTCCTCGAAGGAAAATCTTTTCCAAAGTACATGTTCTTGTTCTTGCATTTAATCAAAAGTAGTTAATTTGTTTTAATTTGTTTATTTGAGAGAGAGAGAGGGAGAGAGCAGAGAGAGCAGAGCAAGTGAGAGAGGACATAAGTAGGGGGAGGGGCAAAGGGAGAAGATGAAGCAGACTCCCTGCTGAGTAGGGAGCCTGATGCGGGCCTCCAACCTAGAACCCTGGGAGCATGACCTGGACAGAAGGCAGATGCTTAACCAAGACTGAGCCACCCAGGGACCCCTCAAAAGTAGTTTTAAAAGAACAAAAACGATAAGCTGGAAATTGGGACCTTTGATTTCTTCACTGGCAGAGGGAAGGATAAGCTCAGGTCTCTTAGGACATAGAGCAATTCTTTCCTTGAAAGGTAAAATGGCATTATCGATCCTAGTCTAGGGGAATAAAGATACTTAAAAATAATTGATTGATTGATTGATTGATTGATTTTAAGATAATAGAAAATTAAAACATCACTTGAAAGTTTTTTCTGAGTCAAAAGTTTCTTTCTTACATGGATACCTGTTGAAAGTAACTAGGTAAGAAGAGTCTGAGAGTTAGGACAGAATAAAATAAAAGCTGCTTTTATTTAGTTGAAGTAAACTCTTTTTCTTTTTCATTACGTGTGTTGTCAGACAGGAAACTGTGATAAAAAAGATCTGTATTTCATAACATACCATTAACTTAGAGTACAAAAAGCCATTTAAGTTTAGAAAGAATTCTGCTCACTTTTCAAAAAAATGTAAACACATTCTTCTTCTGGTAGAGTAGAGGGGAATTAATTAGTCATTGTGAAAAAAGAGCACAAATGCTCTAAGTTATTTTCATAAGATGAAAGTGAAGGGACATGATGAATGCAACTTGCCAAGCGGTGTCACTTAAAATGTCTGTGCAAGAGATAAGTGTCTCAATGCTAAATAGTTGAAATTGCATAGGAAATTATTTCAAGAAAAATTAGTTGTGTGTCCCAACTGTGTATAACTCCACTTCCTCCTGAAGTGACCCAGAAGCTCTCAGCCGAAAATACGTCTACCATGGATGTTTCACTGTCTTGTCGAAGTCTTAACAGTTGATATGAATAAGTAATAAAATGAAGTACATTTTAATGGGTTTAGACTACCTTCTGAAATATTTAAGACTTGGAAATTGGAGTAGACATCAGAGGGTAAAGGACTAAGTTGAGAATAGATTCATTTTTAGAAAATGTTGGTTATGAATGAAATAAGCGAAGCTGAGGGGAGATTGATGCTTGCGAGAGTCTGAAAAAAGTCCAAGTGTCATGTGTCATTTGAATTACAATGAGATGTCACCTTCCAGTGCTGTCTTCTATCCTACAGTAGAAGGAGGGCACAGTCTCAGAGCTCAACCTGAGACATATTTATGCCACTGCATTTTCACTATACCGATACACACAAAAAAAATCAATGCATCCGTTGGGTAAATATTACAAACAATCTGGGCTGTCTTTACCAAGGAAATGTCAAATGAACTTATATGTTTGGTAGAATCTAAAGTATTTATTATTTCAGAGCATAAAAGCATGGACATAGATCATAAAGCACAATAAAATAGGCAAAACTTTGGACTACATTATGGAATTTTATTAAGTATCTTACCTTATAGTGTATAGTAGAAACATAATTTTGCATATACTTTGCCACCTGGAAAATGATCATTTCACAGATGCGATACAAACTCTAGACAGCACAAAAAGGTCTGATAGAATGACAAGAGAGTCAAATAGAAATATAATCTCCAGAAAATAACTGTATTGTTTGGAACTTGGAATGAATTCTCCCATAGGGGGAAAAAAAAGTATGTCAATTTATTGAGATTGTGCAGAAAAATATATCTGATAACATTTTTTTTTAAACTTCCATATTAAGTGTTTGCCTGTCATTTCTTTTCTAATGTCTTGACAATATAATAAAATGTAGTAATGTTATTGGGACCAACATTAAAGTAGCTGGCAGTACGAATTCCTATTTAAATTTGTATTTTTGAAGTACTTTATTTAAAATTCTTTTTAAGGGGCACCTGGGTGGCTCAGTGGGTTAAAGCCTCTGCCTTCAGCTCAGGTCATGATTCCAGGGGTCCTGGGATTGAGCCCGTATCCGGCTCCCCTCAGCAGGGAGCCTGCTTCCTCCTCTCTCTCTCTCTCTCTGCCTGCCTCCCTGCCTACTTGTGATCTCTGTCTGTCAAATAAATAAATAAAAATCTTAAAAAAAATAAAATAAAATTCTTTTAAATGTTTGTTCTGTCCTTACTTGCCATCATAAAAAAATAAACAGATTTACTATATAGATATGCTTTATTTCCTTATTTCTTTAAAAGACTGTTTTTAGGGTTGAGCCTCTGCCTTCGGCTCAGGTCATGATCTCAGGGTCCTGGGATCGAGCTCGGAATCGGGCTCCCTGCTTGGTGGGGAGCCTGCTTCCCCCTCTCTCTCTGCCTGCCTCTCTGCCTGCTTGTGATCTCTCTCTCTGTCAAGTAAATAAATAAAATCTTAAAAAAAAATAAAGACTGGTCATATACGGGACGCCTGGGTGGCTCAGTGGGTTAGGCCACTGCCTTATGCTCGGGTCATGGTCCCGGAGTCCTGGGATCGAGTCCTGCATCGGGCTCCTTGCTCACCAGGGAGCCTGCTTCTCTCTCCACGCCTGCCTGCCTCTCTGCCTGCTTGTGTGTTCTCGCTCTCTTCCTCTCTGACAAATAAATAAATCTTTAAAAAAAAAAAAAGGTCATATACATTTTTACCAATACTTTAGGCTTCCTAGTACTTGGTGTGGTGCAGGTAGGGTAAACTCTACTGAAATATAATTGAGAGAGAACATATGGAACCATGAGAGTAGAATTTGGGGAATGACTAATGTCATTTCATTTGAATCGAAGGAAGAAGTATTCTGGATATACAATACATCAACAGACAGAAAATGGGCGAAAGCAGAGGTGTTAATACCAGAAAGCCTGAAGACGTTTAAGGTACAAAACGGAAAAACAAGTATTCTTTTATATCATAAGTTAAACTTGTAGCTTTGCAGTAGTGAATTTTATGACCCATAGCTAAATTTAAATTAGGACTTAAATTAAGGATGTAGATTTGTGTATTTGGAGAGAACAATTGCCTACTTCCTTTCATTGTACTTAGCCTTTCCCCAGCCACATTACTCCTGTATAAAGCTTCTTCATTGTACATGGGCTCTCCTCCTACCCTCTCTAAGCCCAACACCATGCATTGCCAACAAGGAAGAAAATGTCATTATGAAGCAGATAAAAAATAAATTGGTATTGAAAACCAGTAAAAACCATACAAATGTTTTGAAGGCAGTAATTCATATCTTTATAAAATATGGTTATATCTACCTGTGCAAAGATATATCTGAAATATCTGAAATATACATGTGCCCAGTGGGAATATGGTCTCTTAAGAAAATGAACTTGGGATTTTTGTATTGTATATAGAATTGAGATTGTGCAGAAAAATATATCTGATAACATTTTTTTAGCTTTCATATTAATGCTTGTCCATCATTTCCTTCTTTTCTAATATCCTAGCAACATTGCAAAACGTAGCAATGTCAGTGTGATCAACATTTAAGTAAGTGGTATTGTTATTCATAATTTTACTTTTGAAGTGTAGTATTTTATTTAAAATTCCATTCTTTTTTGTTATATGAAGAGTGTATGAATATGCTTATGCTGGACTGTGAGTATAAAATAATAAGACCGTACATGTGGCTCATGAAACCAATTTCATTCCTTTATGGTAATATCACATATATACATTTTTCTAGGTGCTGAAAGGGAGAACCCAAATGATACTGAACTGTAACCCATACAGATTTTTAGAATCCCATTTACTGCTGAGATTGGAATTTCTGAACCATAGCATTTTTGTATTAATCACAGCGAAGTTGAGGTTTATATCATAGCCAGTTGAATTAATATTTGACACTATTTTAATTTTCTAAGCTGATATTTATCTTTATAACTTCTGAAAGAGGTACGAAATGATTGGAGTTTCATTCTTTAATATAAACTGAATATTAAAGTTGGTCTTGTTATTTAACTCAAAGATAAAACAAAATAAAAAGAGAGTAATTTGGGAGTTATTCCAGATTTCCAAGTGCATATTAAATGTAATTAACTTTCAATAATAGCACCTTTTTCAAATCTAAGTTTAAATGCATCAATTTTGAAACCCAAATTAATGTCATTTTTGCATACCTAATCTCTTGCTGCTATAAAGATACGCGGCTGTAGGTCCAATAATTTATACTTAATTATATTATGATATTCACTATGGGGAATGTATATAGCAGCATATAGGTTTCTTATTATTAGATGTGATTTGAATATAGTATCTTCTGGACTAAATTGTTAAACATATTTGCAAACTGAGACATAATCCTTAACAAATATATATATATATTTTTTTCCTCATATTTTTGCAAAGGAGAAAACCTATCCAGAAACTTTCAGCTGGAAAAAATGAAAAGGAATTAATCTTTCTTCCTAGTATCTTATTTATGCACAAACAATACCTAGTTCATTGCTGTTGAATAGTATTTTCTGTTCTAGGGGAAAATGTAAGTATCTGTGCTCTCGGATATGGTAGAAGGTAGGCATGGAAGACTGCTGAGCACTTGCAAAGTGACTAGTATGGCTGAAGAACTGAATTTTAATTTTATTTTAGTTAATTTAATTTGAAATGGCCCTTTGTAGCTGTGGCCACCCTATTGGACAGGAGAGAATTAGTTACATGGTAAAGTCGGCTATTCATATGTCTCCTTCTGTCTGGTGTTAGCCAACCATTGCTCTTGGTGGAACCTCAAGGAACGTTAATACTTTGATATAGTATTTTACACTGGACTAGCAAGGATGGTTGTTTCACTTGCTAATGTTGCATACCCTCCAAAAAAGCTAGTAATTTGACTGGAGAACATGAGATTTATTTCTTTTAATTGGCACTTCTTTGATTATTAGAGAAATTCTTCTTTTGTGAAAATAGATTTTTATATTTAGTCTTTTATGTTTTCTGTTCATCTGTTGTGTCCCTTACTATTTGTCTAACCTTTCCCTGCCTGCATTCCAACACTAAATGCAGTACTTTAAAAACCAGATGTAGTTATAGCTCTTGTTGTATAAGTAGTGATAATGCTTATTGTTTTTCCTGCATGTTAAAGAGAGCCATGAAGATGATGCCCAAGTTAAAAGTTAGCAGGCAGGTGCCTCTCTGCCTACTTGTGATCTCTATCTGTCAAATAAAATAAAATAAAATCTAAAAAAAAAAAAAGTTAGCAGGCAGGGACATGGTCCATGGTTTAAGTGGCATGTTGTATTTCATTGGATCATGAGCGGTTTCTCAGAGGCCTCCGTGGATCTACTGTGTTCATATCTTTATACTTTTCCCCTTGGGGACATATATTATGGATTGCTGAACTTTATTAAATGTAGGGTTTTTCCCATTCAGATCAATTACACGTGTGAGTCAGGTTTCCCAAGTAGGAACTTTGGTGGTTGTATTTGCTGGCTCTTTTAATAGGTATTTGTTTTGGTAATTATTAAATGTCTATTACTCCTTTTTGGACGGGTCCTTTAAAGGAGATTATAAACTCATAAATTGTTCATGTTTTGCTTTTTTAAGATTATATTTGAAGGCACTCTTCTGAGCCAGAAAGGTTTTATTGGGCTGGATCAGCTCTGGGTCTGTGCCTGTGCACTTGCCCCACCCAGAAGGCTTTGCCCTAAGGATGAGTTCACTTGTGCCAGTGGCCAATGCATTTCCCAAGAATTGGTCTGTGACTCTCAGCCGGACTGTTCTGATGACAGTGATGAAGACCCAACAACTTGCTGTAAGTGAATTAATGGTTTACTTGTTCACACGCTCACATTCATGACTGTGTTTGGATTTAAGTCGTTGCTTTGAGTGAGTTAAAGTTAGTATGTATCACATGAAATGAATACACATCCCCACCTGCAGCTATTAGCACTGTCCTTTGGGGCGGTCTCTATGCCAATATAGACTTTGGTGCTTTTTGTTAACATGGCAACATGGGGTGTGTGTGTGTGTGTGTGTGTGTGTGTGTGTGTGTGTGTGTGTGTGTTTCGGTCAAAAAGGAAAATGGGTGGGAGAAGGAACCGCTTTATACTTTTCCCTTGGGAGACATATATTATGGATTGCTGACCTTTATTAAGTATAGGGCATCTTCCATTCTGACCTCTTATGTGGAAGGCTGTGGGGAGGTGTTGAAGAGGAAGGGCTGCCACTGCCTTCTAGGCAGCCATGATGACTATAGAAATCATGTCAGCCATGTTTGGATTCGTGTCTGGGTAAAATTTAGGTCCAACAGCTGCCTTGTAGGACTTTTATGGAGAGTCTTTGATAGGAGTGATGACAAGAAATCCCATTATTATTCAAACCTAGTTGTATTTGAAAGGAAATATAATTTAATTTACAGCCCACATGATGGTTCTCATCTGAGGTAACTTAGCAACTAAGATACTTGTGTTTCTTTGGAAATGATGGATTCTAACTAAATGAATCCAAATCCCATATCACAAACAAGTGGGTTTTCTTAATTATTAAAAATTTGACATTTATTTTGCTGCACTGTTTTATTTTAGTGATGTGTGTTGTTGAACAAGAGAAAAATATTGCAACAAGATAAATGTGTCACCTTTTTAATGAGAAGTTCTTTGTACAAAATGCTTCTGTTGATGGGGAGGGATTTTATTAAGAACAATAGAAAGAGATACAGGAAAGAGGAGATGAGTAAGCCAGGGAGGACTCCTCTGCCTGTTTGTAAACAGCACCATTAATTCCTCAGACACCTAGTTTTAACACTAGTCGTAAACAAAACAATCTACTTCTCAGTATGATCTCCGTGCTGTCTTTTTTCACTCAAAAAAACATGTGAGGGCAATTCACTATCTCTAATATGAGTGTCAGTTTCTTTTCTGTGCTTTAAAATTTCTCACAATTTGGTCCATTTCTTTGGAAAGATTCACCTTTCTAATGGTTTGCGTTATTCTCACTTTAATTGAAAGTAAATATATTTCCTCTTTTCACTTGTACATATTGACACTCCCCCCCCCAAAGGGTTCTTTATCCTCTCCTTTTAATTGGTTTTCTTAATCAAATTCCACCTGGAGTATTAGTAGATACTTTAGCATTTGATTTTGAACATATTTTCCCATTTCTCTTCCTCTGTTGAAGTTTCATTGGTTACATATTTAGGAATTTTCCAGTGGAGTGTATCTTGACATCATTCTGCTATTTGCTTTTTTTTAAATGAAGGATAGATGTCCATGGTTATCAACAAATAGTGTTAGTGTGTTTAATTTTCAAAATTATGTAACTTCATTTGAACAAAGATAACCTGGCATGCTTGCTTGAAATCAACTTCATATAGTGTTATGATATAACAATGTAGCCATATTGCATATTATAAAATATTTATGTATTTTGATGCATGTTTATCTATATATTTTGATGCCAACATGAGTATTTCATGTCAATATTTGTACAATCATGTTTGTTTTAAGGAAATTGTTTATAGAACAATGGAATTATTTGAATTGATACTACATTATTTTCTGCATTAGGATATTTAATACATTTGTGCATACATACACTTGCTCATGTATATTATTACTAAATAGGAGAAACTTCCCTTTAAAATTCAAAACCACTTTGAAACATTCTACAATACTTTAAAAAATATACTTCATTTATTTATTTTTTTGAGAGAGAGAGAGAGCATACACGTGTTCAAGAGTAAGGGGGGCGGGTGGGGCGCCTGAGTGGCTCAGTGGGTTAAGCCGCTGCCTTCGGCTCAGGTCGTGATCTCGGGGTCCTGGGATCGAGTCCCACATCGGGCTCTCTGCTCGGCAGGAAGCCTGCTTCCCTCTCTCTCTCTGCCTGCCTCTCCGTCTACTTGTGATCTCTCTCTGTCAAATAAATAAATAACATCTTAAAAAAAAAAAAAAGAGTAAGGGGGGGTAAAGGGAATCTCAAGCACTCAGTGCTGAGTGGGGAGCCAAGTGCAGGACTGATTTCCCCACCCTGAGATCATGACCTCAGTAACTCAACGGAGCTACTCAGGCCCCCTGATTCTACACGTACTTTTAGGTTTGTATTTTACAAGTTGAATTTGTAATGCAAACTCTTCTTAGAATTCCCCAGTTCGTGAAGCGAATGAAACATGCTTGTACACCTCCTTCTTATCCCACTTTAGGATGGATCTCTAAGAGTGTAGCTCATACATGCAGTTTGAATAGCACCAGGACTACTTACTGGAGACTCAGTAATATTGACTGATGGATGTTGTTAGTTGGTATTGTCGTCAGCGTGCTTGTCCCCAAAGGCACACTCACTCAGGTATTTTTTATTACCAAGTGCCTCTTAATTCTAGATACTTTTAATAAAAGTAGTTGACAGCCTTTAGCCCCATGCCTTTTCTGAGGCAGTTAATTGGAAGTGAAAAGGAGTGTTGCTAGAGTTTTGCTACTGTACGTTGTGGACCAGTAGCATTAGCATCATCTGGGAGCTCTTTTGAATTACAGAACCTCAGGCTACATCACAATCTTACCAAACCAAAAGTTGCCTATTAACAATGTCTCAGGTGGTTCCTCTGCATATTAAACTTTGAGTACCACTGTGCCAAATAACTTTCAGAAATGAAAAGACTGCTGAGAGGAAAACAGATGGCATATATAAAGTAGACTCAAGGCAGGGCGCCTGTGTAGCTCAGCTGATTGTCTGCCTTAGGTTAGGGTCATGATCCCAGAGTCCTGGGATCAGCCCCACATGGGGCTCCTTGCTTGCTCCTCCCTCAGCCCCTCCTCTATACTTGTGCGCTTTTTCTCTGTGTCGAATAAATAAATATATTTTTTTTCTTTTTTCAAATAATTTATTTACCTGACAGCTAGAGAGAGACAGCAAGAGCAGGAACACGAGCAGGAGGAGTGGGAAGAGGGAAATCAGGCTTCCCGCCGAGCTGGGAGCCAGATGCGGGGCACCATCCTAGGATGGTGGGATCACGACTTTATGCGAAGGCAGACGCTTACGGACTGAGCCACCCAGGCGTCCCTAAATAAAATCTTAAAAAAAAAAAAAAAAAAAAAGTGGACTTAAGGCAAACCAGCTGGCAGATCTTTAACAGGAGCTAAAACTCCTGTAACTAATTCCTAAGAACATCACTATACCATCAAACGATAAATTTTTAAAAAGCTTTATTGAGGTATAATTGACATACAACAATACACATAATTAATGTGTACAGTCTGAGTTTGGAATACACAGACATCTGATCTTTTCCTTCACCTCCAGAAGTTTCCCTATGTCCTTTCTTTTTCGAGAAAGGACACTTAACGTTGAGATTCACCCCGCGAACTTGGTGGGGCACTACGTGTGGCCGCACAAGTGGGGAGAGATGCCAGACGGTTACGTGTAGCTTGGCGTGCGCCCCTTGCACTTACCTGTACCTCTGCCCCCGCCCCCCCCCCCCAGCGCCCTACCCTGCCGGCCCCCCAGGCCGCCCCGGCGGGGCAGCGGGCCGCACCTGGGCGGGGACTCCCTCCAGCTTCCTCTTCCGTGGCCTCGTGGTCTTCGCGGGCCTCCCGCAGCTGGGGGCCGCCGAGTACTTGGACGGTTACCAGCGGGCGGGCGCAGCTCACCGCCCTCCAGCCTCAGGTGAGTGCCCCGCGCGGTTTCCGCGGCGGCTCCCCGGCTCTGCCTGTGACCCCGCGCCGCGAGGTGTGGCTGTCGTGTTCGCTGGGGCGGCGCAGGCTGCTGTGCACGGCCCGCGACTTCGGGCGGCGTTCGGGGCTCCGACCCGGCGTTCGCGGCTAGGGCGGGCGGCCGCGGCTCGGCATTCCGGCAGCACAGCCCGCTTCCAGAGCGGCGGCCCCGGGCCCGAGCGCGTCCCGCGCGGTCGCCGTGTGCTCGCGTGTGGCCTTCTGCCACCGGACCACCTCCAGGAAAGGGGGCGAGGCCCGGGCTAGCGAACTTGGGCCGGGGTGTACGGGGAGGCGGGGCGGCCCCCGCGGTGCGCTCCGGGGTGCTCGCAGGCGAGGTGGGTGGGGAGGACCGAGGATCGCGGTGACACAGGGAGCCGGGCCCCTGCGAGAGAGGTGGGCGCCACCGAGACCCCAGCCCCGAGCAGCGGACCGGCGCTTCCAGTTCGTAAGGTGTTATCGCTGCGAGCGCTGCGGCATCCGATGGCACGGTGCCCTGGTGTGGGGTGTGCAGGGCGGTTCAAGCAGTTTTGCTGAACTTGTCAGATCTTAATAACTCTTCCCAAGTGGAAGATATCACATGTCAAAGTCGTAAACAGACTAGATGCTCCTGCTCAGGAAGACTTCGCCGCTCCGACCCTAGAAGTCCCTGTCATTGAGATTTGTGTGGGAGTTTCAAACATCTGTGACCGCACTTTCGCTTCAAATATATCATTTAAATGAGTGTGAAAAACGGTCCTGCTGAACGAGTGTTAGTGAACAGACAAGTGAGTTTTTTTTTTTTTAATGCCCCTTTTCTGCCTCTTTGGAAAATAATTTATGAAAGGTCATATTTTCAACAAAGCCTTAAATAAAAGTATTGCAAAACAATTGAAAAAAATGCACAATATGGTATTGTTGACAATAGGCTGTGTGCTGTGTGAAATTCTGAATTAATTCATCTTGCATGGCTGAAACTTCATACCCATTGAACAGCAACTCACCATTTCCCTGTGCCCCCCAGCACCTGGTAACCACAGTTCTATTCTCTGATTTCAGTAGTTTGAGTATTTTAGATAGGTCATGTAAATGGAGTCATTATGCTAAGTGAAATAAAACAGCCACAGGACAAATA